CATAGTGAAAGTGGAACAGTTTGAGCTGTAAAGGGGGTTCCTACAGGAAATTGGATTGTCTTTATTTTCAGATGTGCAACTTACGATTTTTATCTTGAATTGTTTCATGTTTACAAAACTGTTGAATGTTAATCAGGTGCAAATTTCGAAATGATTGGATTAATAGCATCTATGATTAGCATCACTCAGTGGAAAATTATATCACATGGGAAGATAAAAACAAAGAAAATTTGGTTTGATAAATATTTGATGCCTTAATGACCTTTTTAAACACATCAAAAATAAATGCTGACATCTGATTAGTTTCAGACTTATGATGTAATCAAGTAGATGATAATTTCAACCTAATTATATAATATTTAGAATTTAATCTGTATTTTTCACCATTAATTAACACCAATAAATTGTACAATTTGATATCTCCTAAATTTTAGAATGAAATTTAGGGTTTGTTCTATATCATTATTAACAAATGCCAGATTTTGGGTTAAATAGCCAGAACATTTACCAATAAACAGCTAATTGATACATCCTTTATTCAAACACACTTGTTTGTCTTCACAGCAGGAAATTGTCTAATTACCACAGTATTGTAGAAGACTGACCAGAAATGACCAGCTGTGTACTATGACTCTACTATTTATTGCAAAATACTGTTACACATAAATAGATTGTTATCAGAATCCGTGGCAAGCTGTTTTACTGACTTTTGAATTTATACACAGAAGATCCCCCCCCCCCTTTTTTTTTTAATTAATGCAAGGCAATGTGAACTTTTATAAATTGATTATTTGTGTTTCGTGTTTTATTTTCATATGAAAGCATGTAACTTACTGAGATAAGAAAAATAAATATAATAAGAAATGACTGATGTTTGAATAATTAACCTATTTTCAAAAATATTTTTATTGTGTACTGGAATGAAACTTTAGGCGATATTGAATGCAATGTTATCCTAACAATTGAATAATCTGAAAATGTATTCTCTTAACAATGATGTCTAAAATTTGACATGAGTTTTGAAATTTAAAAAGTTAATAAAAATTCATTACACAAAAAAACTGACATTCTTAAGTCATCCTGTTTTACAATTTACTATTTGTCAAGCCTGCAACTAGAGTTCCCCAAGCTAGACATAGCAATCCTTCTCTCTAGTGTCATCAACATTTAAAGGAGTAGGTCTGGTAAGGGCCAATTTTGGCCTCAAATTTCAGGTACATCTGATGAAAGATTGTGGGCACTTTTTAAACACATAAGTGTCTTCTTCAGTCGATTCAATTAGTTGATGTGAAAAATTTCAACTGATTAAGTCATTAAAGACGGCAAAATTCAAGCTTATATATATGAAAAATCTATCAAATATGCCATAAAATGTCACTTTTCAAATGTTTTTTGTCAAAAATGAAAGTGGCCGCATTCGTGTTCATACTCAACCCTTTATATATGTTATGTATTATCATCAAATACAACTTACATCTAAATATGAAGACTGAACACAAATGCGGCCACTTCCATTTTAGACGGAAACCATCTAAAAATTAGCTCAAATTGTAAAATTGTGAAGATTGCAGTAATTTTGCCTGATTTAACGATGCTAGTACCCGATACATGTGCATTGTATTGTCAAAAAAAAAAAGCCCATATTTATGTAACAGAAGTATTTTTAGCTTTTCAATAAAAAGCTGAAAGTTTACATTTTAACAATTTTGTAAAACTGCTATATTTTGGGGCCAAAAAGGGGTCTTACTGGGCCTACTCCTTTGTTTTGGGTTAATTTCTTTTTTATTTTAAGTCAATAGCTTTGTTAAATATTCATGGAATTTTGCTTAACTGACAGACGCTTCTTCTATACAAAGACAGCATCCAGAGATTATTATTCTTTTTCAATATTTCACTGATATCATGGACTAATTTTTTTTTTGCACTAACATATATTGTTTACAAAACTTTGAAATTTTCAAAAAACTAAAGATTTTTTATTCCGGGAATAGATTACCTTAGCTGTATTTGGCAAAATCTCTTTAGAATTTTGGGTCCCCAATGCTCTTCAACTTCATAATTTATTAGGCCTTTTATTAAACTTTTTGGATTCGAGCATCACTGTTGAGTCTTTTGTAGACAAAACCCTGGTCTGGTGTTCACAATTTTAAGCCTGGTATCAATAATGTGGTTTTTTAGACTTCAAAATAACTTTGTCAAAGCATTATGGAATGATTGATATATTGATTGAATGATTGGTGTTGATGCCACTTCAGCACTATTGTGCTATTTTGTGGCGGTCAGTTTTTATTGGGTGGAGGAAGCCATAGAGAACCATGACATTTGGTAGGAAAACTAACAATCATAGTCAATAATGATTGGAGTTGAGGGCACCTGCCATGTGCGGGATTCAAAACCTCATAGTTGACAGTCTAAATATACAGTAGTTAGAATACTTAGACCTCTTGGGCACTAAGGCCCCTGGAATGATATAAATAGCTTCTTCAAGATCAAGAGTAAAATTTTAAAATATTTGTTTCATTTTTTATATTTTACAGATAAATGGCATTTTTGAAGTTATTATTTAGATATAGTATTGGGTTAAAGTATTAAGACATCAGTAACTATAGAATTTCAAGAACAAGGACACAAGTTTCTTCTTGACAAAAACATTGCAATTAAGAAAAAAATAGTTGGGGTTTTTTTTGTTATCTCTTCTGTATATCACTGATGATTAGTTTCTTCATACTTGATAAATATCTGACATGTAGAGTAAAATTTTGAATTTTCCACCATTCTTCCATAATTTACTGATAAAGATTATTTCACAGTCAACATTTAGGTAAGTGAAAGATTTTGAATAACTTTTATCAAACCTTTGTGGAATTTTACAAAACTTACAAAACTTAGACAGAAGCTTTCTTGTAAATCAAGAAATAGAACCCTGAACAAATTTTGATTAATTTTTATATATAAATAAAATAAAGATAAAAACATATCTTGCAATAATTTAAATTGAAGAGATAAACAGGGTCATATGCAGACGTGTATTTAGGGGGGGGGGGGGGGGGTCTCTGCCTTATAGAGCTAGCACTAATCTAATAAGCAACATTTTAATTCAAAAAGACACAATTTTGTAGTTGACAAGATAAATTAAGAGTACAAATTAAACATCCAAGTATAATTTTCTGTGATTAGGGATAATTTCATAGAATTTGATCCACTAATCCACACATTTTGGTGCAAATCATATCTATGGCCTTTCATGGATACTGTGCTATGTAGCAATGTTTTGGTTTTTTCCGGAATTGTATTTATAATTAAAGGGAAACCTTCATCAGAGACCACCCCTTTTGTTTTTGTTTTTCATTTATTTCTTTTTTATTACTGTTTAAAGTTTAAAAAAAAAAATTTAATATTTTTTTTTATTTATTATTATGGTAATTTTACCATGCCCATTTATGCCCATTTTATATAAATTTTATTGTTTATCAGTAAATTTCATAGTATATTTTTATATGCAATATTTTTAAAATCTGTTTGTTTTAGGATTTTATAACATGGGCTTTCATATTTTATTGTTAATACTTATATATGTGAATGGATATATGTTGTAAAGCGCTTAGGGTAATTTTAATATTATATAAATCGCTGTTATAAATACTGTATAACAATAATAATAATAATTATAGTTTTTTTATTTTAATTTAAATTTGAATTTTGATTTTTTGATTTTCTAACTATTTCAACCTATTTCAATAAAATTTAATGTTGAATTCAGTGTTTCATGGAAAGAATTTTGTCCTATGAATATCAGTTTACTTGTGTGGTTTACATGATGATGGTCATTAATTAGTTCTGCACAGTGAAATATTTTGTAGGAACTGTGATGTTCATACAAATAATTTTATAGCTCATTTCACTAATTCACCAACATGACCAATGTTCTATTTCTTTTGAATCCTATTGATATGTTTTTATGGGATCTGGCATCTATTGTAGAATCTGTTTTAAAAAGATGCCAGTATTTCCTGAATACTTTTTGAAGTTTTTTTGCTTGAGAATGATAATATGTAATGAATGATACATTACATCTATTTTCAACTTTGTTCTTTTTCTTTAAAAATTGGGTGGTTTGAGTTTTTATGAAGATATTGGAATTTTTCAGTATTCTTTCAAAAGCATTTCATATCTAAAACACCAGTATTTTTCGAAGGGTTCATCTTTGAAGATTTATGGAATGATTATTGCATTCATAAGTGAACTTTAGCAATAATTTGCATTTTCAAACAGGAAATCTAATTTCAATTACTATTTATTTAGTGGTAGGGATGAGCTGCTAAAAAGGTCACCATGGTCACTATTTCAAGCTTCATTTTATATGATCAAATCTGGAAATTTAGATGAAGGTCAAGTTTTCAACTTGCCTATTTATATCACAAGTGTCTGAAACTAATCAGATGTCAGAATCTTTTGATGTGGTAATAACAACAGTTGTAAATGTATTCAATAGTGGTCAAATCAATTATCTCTCTATTAATTTTCCCATATGCATTCTTACCAGCTATTAACTTGCTGTTTAGACATTTTCACCTAATTAACATTAAAAATTTGTAATAATGTAAAACTACATATTTTTAATTTTACACTTTGAGAGTGTTGACCATAAGAGAAATAGGTTTAACAACTTGAGAAAAATTGGATATCGCTTGATATCAACTCTTGTTATTTAATTTATTTACTAATAATAAACTCGACACAGGCTAGTTTATTATTATATTGAAATTAAATAACTCCAGTTGAAATCAAGCTATATAATTTCAATTCTCACTTGTTATATGAAACCTATACGTACAGCCTTCAACATGGAGCCTAGGCTCACACAGCATAGTAAGCTAGAATGGGCCTGAAAAGGACCAGTGTGAAACAATACAGACGAGAAAAACTAATGGCCAAATTGATGAAAAACAAATATGAAATACAGTAATAAGCAACAAGCACTTAAATTACATGCAGGCTTCTGACTTGGGACAGATATATATATATATATAGAAAATATATGCAGCGAGGTTAAAAAAATGTATGTGCTGGATCCAAATTCTCCTGGGATAGTGGTGTATTTGTCTGCAATGACAAGACTTTATATACACTGGTAAACATATTGGCTAACAGTTCTTCTAGTCAGGGATTTGTTTGCGCTTAACTTTTAAACACACTTCTTTTGGTTACGGCTGCATATATGTTACTTACTAAGTATAAAATTCCAGTTTTTTTGGCACATTTAGAAAAAAACCCAGATAAATTCCAGACAAAAGAAATAAAATCGATGTCTTCCATAGGTATTGCTTCTAATCTTTACACTAAAATTTCCAGACAAATTGACAGCATCATGAGAAAAATTCCAGTATATTTAAGTTTTATACTGCGTTAAAAATCTGGAATTCCAGAAAATTTTGGTAATGGTGAAAAATATTTCCATGGATTTTTTTTTTACATCTTATGTCTTCCATAGGGGGGGGACAGAATATTTCTGGAATAGCCCATTGGAAGATGCATCACCTTTATATAGTATATATATATGTCGTAGAAACATTGATTTCTCTTTCGATTATAATAATATTAAGTGAGGTTGCTCTCATCCAGTGTGATTGTGATATTTTTGTAAGATGCATGAAAATAAGATTAAAGCATTTTTACTAAATATGTAACATTGTTAACCAAAATCGTATAATCAATTTTAATACTAACATTTTTCAATCATGTGGCCATCAAATAATTTGTTTACATCCACATAATTACCTTGAAATTGGTACACCACACATTATACAAACTCAAAATTCGATTTTGTAAACGAGTTTTCTTATTATGATGAAGAAGAAAAACCAGATAAAAACGTATTTCATTTTAACCCAACTGATGGATTCTACAAAGCAAATTATCTTATAGGTCTAGGAATATGTAGGCACTCTAATTCCCTTGAAATCTCTGGTTTATGGCTTTTTGTCTTGTCACCATAGTGTTCCAACGTTGACGAATCACTATTTCTGTATGATGAAGTAGAGTGGTAACTGTATCCGGATCTGTTGTCTATTTTAGTCAATAAACATATCAGCTGTCTAGAATAAAAACATAAAAAGAATATACCACTGTGTATGTTTATATGATGGAGCATCCACATTGTGTTACATATCTCATATAAAACCTACCTTCCCCTATTTTGTTTAATATTAAGCAACGACTCCCAATTAAACATGACTTTACAATCAGATATTTAATATTTCGTCATTACTTTATTTCTGCTCATAAATATTTCCGAATCAGTAAAGAAATATGTGCTTTGCACAGTCAAAAGTGGGATGCCTGATAAAACATAAAAAATTCTGCAAGACCTTAATATTTTCCCTTGTAACAAAAACTACTTGCAATACTAACTGGTCGCTGTTAACTTTGTTGCATACAATTATTAATGTATATGTTGTAAATATATGTACTTAATATCATGAATTGCTTGTAGGTGGTTTAACAAATTATCATTCAATTGTAAAGTGGTTTTTCTGAAGTAAATACCTATGTCCGGGTGGTATTACATCTTGTGTAAACATAAAACCCCTGGTGCTCATCAGATTTCTTGAGTTTGAAAAGTCTTCCTGTATTGAAGTATACTGCTTTTCGTTTTTATTTTCAACAATGAATATATTTCCGTCCAGTGAAAGGGAGTAGGTGTCAGCATTAGTCTGCTTCAAATTCTGAAAGAAATCAGCAGATCAAATATTAATCATCTAAGTCTGACGCAGATTAAAGATGTATTCTTTTTTTATAAATGAACAATATAATTCTTATTCTATTTTAAACTTTTCGATATTTTAAGTTGGAGTATAAGTTTAATATCTTATCTATCCATAGTATTTCATATGAACCAGAATCCATATAGAACCTAAAATCATGCGACGCATCCCGGTCTCTCTTCTGCTTTGAGTTCATGGGATTCTCTCAGTATTTGTTTGTTGTCTTGACTTTTCTCTTCTTAATCGTGTTATGAGATTTTATCATTGGTTAACTAATATAAAGTTTAAATCTACAAGTCTGCCTACAGATAAAAATTGTTCAGATATTTTTCTGATGACTTTACTCATCCACATTTTGATGAGTGGAAACATTGATCCAAATTTGAAGTAATATGATCTGACCAAACATGAAAGCACGTCTATCGTGCTGAGAAGAAAGCGATAAAGGTTTATAAAACAAACAAACACAAAACTCATTCTAATTAAAGATAAAATGGACACAAAGCATTAGTAACGAAAGATTTTTTAAAAGTTGTATTCATATTCATATGAGGATTATAGAGGAGTTTAAGATTCGATGTGTGAACAAATTAATAGATGGATGAAAATAAAAATTAAAGACAAATACCTCTCTTGTTTATGCGTACATACAATTGTTCCTAAATTGAAAAAAAAATAGTTTTGTCTGTTTTCGTTTTCAAGGAACAACATCACAAAACAATTTTGGAAACATAAAAATATGAATTCAAAAAAGAAGTATACAAAGTATACAAAGAAAAAATAGAAAGAAAAAGGAAGGAACTTACATAAAAGCAAACAACAAATAGCCTAGAGGAAGTAGTTATGTTCTAGGTTGATGGAATATGACTTCTTTTTTTATATGAGGGATATATGTCAACTATACAGTAATCCGACAAAAACAAGACTGTCAAGAAACAAAACCGAAACTGAAATTTGTCAGCAAGATGGGTCTCTCAAATTATAATATAATAATGATTTCCTTTACTTCATACCTGTATGCACTAATCTATTTTAAGTGTCAATCGTTAAAGTATGCGTTTAATTAATTCTACTCTAACAATAATTAAGAAAGTAAATCATCAAACCTGTGATCTAAATTCAAGGTATCTACAGCAGTCGGTATTTATGGATATGGAAAATTGCACTGAAGTATTTCGAATATGTATGGCGTTTGCATTTCTACACGCATATAATTTATAATAAATTTCGGATTAACGCCAACTATACAGTAACCCAACGACGCATATATGTAATATGATGTATATCTATAGAGTAAACATATGGTCTTATAACACTGTGTGTAATTTTTTTATTCGACCATTTTGTTCCGATTTTAAACGCTTGTGAAATGGCACATCGGCGTTTTTAGGTACCGGCTGCATAATTCTGTGCATAACATATAAACGTGTCTTTGTTCAGTAGTTGTCGGAAAGAAGAATTATAGAGGAATGCATATCAATAAAAATCATTTCACAAGAGTTTATATGAACGAAACGGAAATTATGTAAGAATTATGTAAGAATTCATTTAATTTTAAGTAATTTTCGTCAAATGAAAAGGAAGGACATTCTAAACCAAAATTGAAGTTATATCAAAAGCAAAGCTCTGTCTTGTCTTTCAGATATTCTTTAACTGAATTATATGTCCTCTGATGCAAAATTCTACGAAAATATATTACATTTGCAATATTGAACTAACTCATAACATATTTTGAAGACTTAAATTCCAATGGTGTATTTGTAATTTGCACATTTTAAAGAAAAAGCTGTCAAAATTATTATGCAGAGGATTTGAACATACATCTACCGTTTTTCGATACAACGTATGCATATTAACTAGAGCCCATCTTGTAATTCATCATAGATGATTGATCTACTTTTACTATCTATATAGTCAATATTCATAAAATTTGTACTTTTACATCACTGTTCACATAATTATACATTATATAAAAAAAAAATCTTCGTTGTATAAAAGGAATTTCTTTTCATAAACATTCTTATTAACTAAATCGAAATTTTTATTCTAGATAGTCGTACAACGCATTGTTTTCAACTAACCACTTTTAAATGTCTTGTCTACGCTAAAAACTAACTACCATCATGTGTATATTAATGTTCTTTTAGTGTAGTTGAAAACAAACAACCAACAAAAAGCAAATGAATAGAAATTGAATTGTCCATAACCAGCTGTGAAAATTTGGCCTTATGTCTTTCGACTTTACTTTCAGAATAGACCACTTTCGAGTTATGTCCTTCACCGGAAAAGTTCGTCAATTATGCGCGGCTTTATGACGGCATTTACCAGATAGAGGGGACCGCCTGTATCCCTGCACTATTAAAGTTCATCAAGCGTCTTCGTGATCTTCATTATGCAGGATAAACTAGAAATAATGTTTATTCCGTAGGTACTTAATCACAATTCCCTATGAAAACAGTGCTGATTATCAAACTATAAGAATTTAATTTGCCGAATAATTCGTGCAATATAGCATCATATTTTTTTTCAACCGCTCGCTCAACATGGGAAGGAAGTGACGATTCCCCTTAACGCACGAATGATGTTCACTAAAACCAAAGTTTTTGACAGGATGCAACGAACTCGGAAGTGGTCTATTGGTGCAATGTATTCTCGTCAATTTTAATGTTTAACGTCTATTTAAATATACCTCTTTTTCCATTACGGTGACCCTACGTTTTTATTTTCTTATTTTGTTTAACTATGCATATTCTATTGAATTTTCATCAAGAAAACATTGGTCAATTTTTTTTTTAATTTGATTTTTTTATAGATAGTTCACCATATAAAAAGACGGGAAAATTATTATAGCAACTTATCGTTATCATTTGTTCCCCCAGAAGATGATAATATCAATAATACAATTTCTACTAACAACAAGGTTAACAAGACAAACAATGTTTTTATGATACGGATTTTTTATAATATAATACACTGCTAATACCTACAAATCCTCATTTCTATTTTCCATGAAAAAAAACGATAATTTATTGGCTAATTGTAAAGCTTGTACCTAGCCTAAACTGTAAATAAAATTGAAAGAAGTTATTATTGGTAGATCTGAATAGAAGGCTTTGTCTTTAAAATACACTTCTGCATTAATCTGAGCAAATACATACCTTTTGCTTTCCTTCATCGACTACTAACTGTATCAAGGTATCTGCCAGATAATGTGTGTATCCAGCACTAATATAGTCATTCTCTTCTACAACAATATTCTGTGTACTGTGTATTGTCAGGACAAAATCACGCTGGACATGACTTCCATGTTTTCCTGATAAATTCAAACATACTGTAAGAGGTACGTTATATATGTCCTCTGTATCAATATTTTTTATATAGATATGAATTTAGATATTTTGTTTGCATCCATCTATTTTGCGACGCAAAACACGTGTGGTGTGTGTTGTTTTGTTATTGGGTGTCTCAGTTTCAGGTCGTGATATTAAACTGTTCACAGACGACAGATGCCATTGAAACACTTCACAGGATTACCCTAATTCAACTGGTATTGTGATATTGGGAAGCCTGGTCACATAAATAAGTGGATCCTTGTGTAGTCCTAACAAATCCTTGTCAGTGAAAATAGACTCGAAGTCGATTAAAAGTTTAATACTGTATTATCAAAATCACACTACTACAACAAAGTAACAAGTATAAAAATGTACAACATCTCATTTTCTTCGCTTTAACTATAAACGTAACTGTCCTCTCACATCACTGGAAATTCTCTCTCCCCTTATCTCAAGCTCTTTCTCTATTTTATATCACTCCTATTTGCCATATAAACCCGGATACAAATATGGAAATACATGTGCCCAGGTAAGGCACATAAATGCTGACAAAGGAATAATTGCTAGGTCAATCGTATCCGGGCACCGGGTCAACTAGGCAACCAATCTCCATTACATAAATTAACGAAGGCATCATTTGCAAATCATTAGGGCTTACTAGTCAAACAAAGGAATCTTAGTATAACTCTTGATTAATATTTCTGATGAAATCTAACTGTATTAAATGACTATTATTGAAAATAAGTAAAACTGATACAATTACATAAAACACTTTACCTAACATATAAAAATGTTACAATTTATACATTCATCACCGCTTTTAGATAGAAAGTTAATATTATAATTCAAACTTATAGGTTAGCTTTTTAGCATTCTACACAAAGATTTTTTTTTAAATTAGAAGTTATTTTACAAGTATTGCTACCAACTTATTATCCAAATGTTTATTTGAATGGATAAAACTATGATGTAATTGATCTCTTACATACACATGTGCCCAAGTTACTGTAATATTCTATCATGTATCAAAACCAAACTACAGAGTTCACAGGGAAAAATGATTCTAGGCGGTGTGGTTCGGGTTAGGTGGAGGAGGGGGCGTTATCAGATGTTGACTCTAACAAGTGCCATATAAATGGTTAGATACATTAAATAAAAGTCAATCCAATCTTAATTCACCTGGATTGTCAGTTTTCCTACCGAAGGTCGGTGGTTCCCTCCAGGCACTCCGGTTTCCTCTACCAATAGAAACTAACTGCCACGAAATAGCACAATAGTGTTGAAAGTGGCGCTAAACAAAAAAACAATCAATCAATCAATTTAATAAAAGTCCATCTCTTCATAAAATAGTATTCAAATATTTGACTTATCCCCCTTTACAAGTATTTCTTTGTTTAAATTTATAGACAGAATACAAGTATTTGTTCAAATTTTCCATAAGAAAAATGACAAAGAAATCTTTTTTTTTTGTATAAAAAAAAACTGTCACCATGGAGATCCACAGGTTTTTGATTGCATCAAAACAGGATATCTGGCGTAAAACTGAATCCATATGTAGGTATATAACTCTTTAGGCTTTGCCGTTTTGGAAACTTCTCATCTCACTGAACTATGTAACTACTTCAAATTTAGAAGAATATGACTTAAAAGAAAATAGATTCTTTATGCTACAGCCAAAATGGATCTTTATAAAAAATTCGTAAGGGTTCCGCGGAACCCAGTGTCTCGCCTACTTTTGCTATTGTCTATGTTTTCAGTGTGATAGGGGAATGCACATAATAGATTTACAGTTAATGAAATAAAACGTTTGAAATGTATAAAAAATGTTATGCTTGTAAAAAATGAATACAGTATGCAATCAAATCTATAGATTATAAAAGAGTTGAAACATAAATTCATTGAATGAACAAATGATAAAGAAGATACTTTTTACATTGCTTGATGATTTATCCCTTAATTCATCAATAAAAATGCATGTAAATAGAAGATGCAATTATAAAATTCGCAGGCTGAACACAAATAGGAAAAAATTATTAAAAATTTTCCTCTAGATACTATCTTTTGATTGCAAGAAGCTTCTATCCAAGTTTAGTAAAAATCCAGGATGCTTTATGAATCTAATAAATGTTTTAAAAACTTTAACTGCAGACTGTATGTAATGTTAGCTGGAAGAACAACTAAGTCCATTTATAAGTAATATATGGAAAAACAGGAAATAATTTTTTACAAAATTTCCTTCTAGATACTAGCTTTTAATCATAAACAAGCTTCTGCCCAAGCTTGGTAGAAATTCAGGATAGTTTAAGAAAGTTATTAAAATTTTTAAAACTTTAACCACAGAGTGAATGTAATATTAACTGGCAGAAAAACTAAGTCCATTTATAAGTAAAATATGGATAAACAGGATTTTGTTTTTACAAAATTTACTTCTTGATAGAAATCTAGAATAGTTTAAGAAAGTTATTAAAATTTCAAAAACTTTTACCACAGAGTGAATATTTGTGGACGCCGCCGACGACGACCGACGACGACCGACGCCGACGACGGAATGTAGGATCGCTATGTCTCGCTTTTGAGACAAAAGTCGCAGGCTCGATAAAAATGAACGCTGTTTAAATCAACATTGTATAGGTAAATTATATGATTTATTGATTGTAATTGACAAGACCTTGCAAATTTACATTTTCAGTGCCTCACTTTTGAGCAAATTGACATCATATTGTTACTGATTACACAGTATCAATTTGACCTAAAAAGCTTTCCGTCCTTAGAAAATATAACAAAATAAATTCAGCATAATACCTCCATCTAAATGTTTAAAAGCTAGACATGCAATATTGTATTCTCCACTTTCCAGATGTTCAATTTCACATCCTACATAACTTTCGATATCTCTCTTACTAATATGAACAACAGTTCTCAGCTTTTTACCATCCAAAATTTCCATCACCACTATTAGCATGTCAACAAAGTCCTCGTTGCTGCTTTTACCTCTAATAAATATATTTCTGGAGATTAGGACACAATAACTTAATTATTGCATTCAGATAAGCAATACAAACATTTTTTTTATATTCTGGAATCTACGAAGTTACATTGGCAGATTGCATATTGGATATAGTGTTGTATCCTCCCACATCATACTGTGGTATAATAAGCTATATTTGCGAGTAACGATTTACACAAACTGTAGATATCTAATTTCAAGTTTTACTTTTTATTTCTTTTAATCAAATAAAGTTATGTTGTACTAATCTTATTGATATAATTGGTTAATATTATGTAAATATACATTTTGGTACTAAAGGAAAATATTTTAAATTTTTCAATGAAGTTAACTAAAAAGATATGAACAATAAATCTGTAATATATCTTAAATCCAATCTAGAAAATAATTATGAAGAGCTTGGAATATACAGGTATAGTGGTGGACATATTTAATGGTGGTTCAATGTCATGAGAATTATTATTTTTTTCAAATTTTGGCAGCTGCTTGTCTAAAATAAAAGTTATCAAAAGGTGAAGATCATCAAAATAATAGTATGTCTTGTTATAATAGGTTAATTCATAGGCAAAAAAAATTGATGAATGTACAAATCTTACCTTTTATTCTTTTGGTGTAGTCCTATACAAAGATCAGTTTTCTTCTGTACATAAACCGTAACAAACATCCATGGTCCATCAGCAGTTGATGGAAAAGATCCTTTGATTCTTGTTTCTTGCCAGTCTCTTGTTTTGCAAATGTCTACATCATCAAAATGCCTGATTGATAAATAAAAAAACCAAACTTAATTAACATATTTGATATTGGTATTGGTTTTGTTCTCCTGAGAAATGAGAGAACTTAAAACCCATACATCTCAATAAAGAGAGACGAAAGATACCAAAAGGGCATTTGAACTTATAAGCCGAAAATAAACTGTAAACTGGCAACGCCACGGCAAAAAAAAAAGACCAACAGACTAACAACAGTACACAGAACACAACATAGAAACTAAAGACTGAGCAACGCAAACCCCTACAAAAACTAAGTCCCAATGAATTTTATTCAAATAAATAACCAAAACAAAACAAAACAAAACAAAATACAGAGCGGGGCAATCAAAACCACAAGTTAAAAAAAAAGACATACAATACCAAAGATAAAATAAAAAAAACTTTCAAAAAAGACAAACAACAGCCAAAACATACTATACAAAAACTTAAGATTCAGTATCATGACTGGGATGAACTCAAGGGCTTCAGATAGATCAGCAATTTCTGTTCCACTAGTGGTAAATATTGAAAATTGAAAATGGCTATTCAGTCGACATTTTTTTTTTTTTTCAAAAGAAGCATGAAACTGACGGTCGTTTATTTTTTGTTTGATAGTATTTATGTTTGTTTTGGAGATAACATTTACCGATATTTGATTTGTAATCCGATATGAAACTAATTGTTTCAATTGTATTGCAAATTTTTATTTTTTTGTTATGAATCCAAGTGAATTGCAAAGCTTCAAAAAGACCCAATAAAACACAAAGTAAAACAATTTTAAATAATACAAGCAAATATTTAGACGACATTCTCTGAACAATATCTAGACTTTTTAAAATGTGCAATGGAATCAGTGGTCAAGTGGTCGAAATAGTTCATCTTTAGGGATCACAAGAATATCAACTCTAAGGTTTGTGGTGAGGTGTGTCGACTCAGATCTTTGTTGAGAAGAAATGCCAGTTTTCTTTCCAAAGATCGATGGTTCTATCTGGGTACTCTGACTTCCACCACCAATACAAACTATTTACCATGATAAAGCCAATGTCGCTCATAGTGGCTTAAAAAAAAAAAAAAATACATACATTTATATAAAAAAATATTTATCCAACTACATTCATTCTAACTAATTCAAATAAAATAATGTGACTGATATCCTTTTTATACCATGATTTTTTTCTACCTTAATGTAAAATTTCATTTCCTCGATACTGATGTTTCGTTTGTTTCTTCTTAAGTAGTGTTTATTTCTAGGTTTGGTAATATGCAGGCGCTTTCAACGTGCTTTTAATGTTCATAAAAATGTTAACTTCTTAAAAACTTTTTTACTCCTATGTTTCATTTTAGCCATAGTGGCTGTGTTTCTTGACGTACAAGAAAATAAAATACAAAATTTATACTAGATACTCTGAAACTCATTCAGCCAAAGTTTGGCTGAAATTGATTTAGCAGTTTCAAAGGAGAAGATTTTTAAAGTAAGCAAACTAAATGAACAAATTGTGAAAAATTGATTTTAAAGGGCAATAACTCCTTAAGGGGACAATTGATAATTTTGGTCATACGAACTTATTTGTAGATCTTACTTTGCTGAACATTTTTGCTGTTTAAAAAATAATATTCAAGATAATAACCAAAATCTGCAAAATTTCCTTAAAATTACCAATTAAGTGGCAGCAATCCAACAATGGGTTGTTAGATTCATCTGAAAATTTCAGGGCTAACAGAGCTTGGCCTAATAAACATTTTTACCTCACTGATTAGCTCTAAATGCTTTGGTTTTTGAGATATAAACCAAAAGTTGCATTTTACCCCTACGTTCTATTTTAGCCATGGCGGCCATGTTTTTTTACGAAGCAGAAAATAAAACACAAACTTTATTCTAGATACCCTTAGAATCATTCAGCTTAAGTTTGGTTGGAATTGGTTCAGTAGTTTCAGAGGAGAAGATTTTTTAAAGTTAGAAAACATGATAAACCGTTGGTTTTCCCGTTTGAATGGTTTTATACTAGCAATGTTTGGGGCCCTTTATAGCTTGCTGTTCGATGTGAGCCAAGGCTCCGTGTTGAAGAACGTACTTTGACCTATATTGGTTTACTTTTATTAATTTTGACTTGGATGGAGAGTTGTCTCATTGGCACTCATACCACATCTTTTTATATCTAATTACAGACATAAAACACATAAATTCAAGCAAACATACAAATTAATTTAATAAAGACCCCAAAACGGTGTAGATAGTATGATTTTAAAAGCTCATCAAAGAAATCACTTATAAAATAATGGTATAAAATAAAAAGTGGAATTTCGAATCAAGCTTTTTATGGTTCTAAATATTTTATGACTTGTCTTTCAAGTCTGTCTCTAGGCTTAAATAACTTATTGATATGGTTATTTTCGGAGGATGTGTTTTTTTTTCTGTAGCCAATCGGCACCCCTATGGAATACACATGTGCTCTTTTTTTTCTTTGTTCCTTTATTCATATGATGCCGATTTCAAACAGGAGCTTCTCAGAAAGAATGGAAAGAAGCAATCCTTGTCCTTTAATGTGTAGTTCTGCCATATAGATGATTTCCTCTCAGTAAACAGTTCAAAGTTTGGTGACTTTGTAGAACTCATCAGTCCCATCGAATTTGAGATAAAGGATAACATAGATACAGTTGATGCCTCATATTTTGACTAACATAATGAAATTGACAATGATGAGAACAAAGCATATATCTCTCAGTAGACCAATCTCTGCGTCTCATATTTTTCTGGACAATTATTATTCGCTAATCTATAATTTGTTTCTATTAAACCACAATTTCAGAATTAATGGCTTTTCCTGTACATGTTGGTATGATATAAAAAAAAACAAAGGCGGCAGTAGTTTACCAATGTTCAAATCTCGTAAATAGATTAGGAAGAAACAAATCAAGGTAACAAATAAAAAATGAGAGAATTGTATGATCTATTAAAGGAGCGGGACTGGATGCGTCGACTAGAAAAGCGTCTCCTGCTATGCATGCATCCCCCGTCATGAGAATTCACACTCAGTAAAATGTCGCAATCAGGAATAAGACATACTTGGTAAATTACAGATCAAACGACTATACTCGTATCTAAAATCTAAGACCTCGAAAACAAGTCACTAGTGAGTTGAGACACTGACATATCGTATCGGTCAACCAATTCGTGATGGTGACCGTAAACATTATTTAGTGTCAATTGCAGTTGTTCTGCATCATAACCTTTTATGTAAGTTTGTTGATTTACTAATTGAGATGAACAACAAGTAAATTTGAAATTCAAATTAGCAGCGCTCTAGGAAGCACGTATCGCTATGTTACAGTTTTGCATTACATCTATACAATTTAATTAGAATATGAGTGTGTTGAATTGAAGACTGTGTGGGCCAAAATCTTGTCTTACTGATATTGTTTTGGTGGATTGAGTTTCTGTCTATCCATAATAGCCTTCCAAGATAATAAGCAAAAGTGACAAAAAAAGATTTCATTCATATTTGTTTATTTGTAGATTTTGTCTTTCTGAACATTTTGCTATCTTAAATTTATTTCTATCTCTAACAGTTTCCGACTGAAACCCAACAATTGTAAAAATTGTCATTCAAGAGCAATTGCTCTTGTATGGAGTCGACTGATAATTTAGATAAGGTTGACTTACTAGTTAATCTTTTTTTTTTTGATCATTTTTATTATGAGCAGTTTTTCACTATTTGCCATGGTTTCTAACCCTAAAGCATGTAAATGGGTAAACATCTTCATCTAAGAGTAGTAATCCTATCAGCAGTCAACCGACGAAGGATAATATCTCACTTCTTTGTTTAATCTGTCCTGTTGATCATTTTGCTATTCATAGTTTCTCTCTATTTACTTTAGTTTCCACAAAAACACAAAATGGGTAAAAAAAAATGCCTTTCAAGAACATTAACTCATATAAGGAGTGACTTAGAATTTCGACCATTCCACTTATTAGTAAATCGTGCCCTGCTAATCGTTTTGCAATTTACAGTTTTTCGCTTTCTTTTTTTTGTTTCCGTAACAAACACAAAATTGGTTAAACACTGCCTTTCAAGAACAATAACTCTTAGATGGAATTTACAGACAAATTCGACCATTCAACTTATTTATATATATTTTCCTTCTTATCTATTTTCTATTTACAGTTTCTCTCTATCTACTTTAGGTTCAACAAAATGGGTAAAAAAAACTGCCTTTCCAGATCTAGAACAATAACTCATATAAGGAGTTATCTGACAATTTCGGCATTCAAATTATTTGTAGATCTTGTCCGGCCAATCTCTACTAATAGTTTGTGACTAAATATATAGAGAGTAGGAAGTTTGACATGCTGATCATTCATGTCCCCGTCAGATTTTATCTATCTATGATGATCTTCATGTTTATACACAATATTTGCTTTTTATCCACATGGTTTATGTTTAGCTTTGGTGGCATGTTGTTAGGCGGGCGGGATCATAGGACACATTTTAACTAAATGCCGCATTAGAAAGAATGTGACCATATTTGCCCCATTTATTTCATAGAGGAAGATTTTATAAAAAAGTAAAGTACGGAGGACAAGACAGACGGACGAAATCAAGCACGTGCCTGGCCTTTTCATTCTATTCCGTACAAGCAGGCAGCTGCAATGAAATGCATGCAGACTAAAACATTTGAAGAAAGACATTATTTTTATTATCAACCAGTCACTTTTTCGAACAGTCATCCTTCAGGTAAATAAAGTTTGGCACTATGAATGTCTTGACTTCTCTTCAGTCGTTGCCGCCATGTTAATTACATTTGGTTTATATTATTTGGGTCAAATCACTCATACATTTTTTTTAAAATCCATGGGATATACTCCAGTTGACAGAGAACAGTTTTATTTCAACTTCAAAGACTATTTCCAACTTTGCCTTTAACACTTTATACTTTATTCTTTACGAGTGAAAAATAAAAAGTGTCCATATTCCTAGCTTCAAAGTGTACAGATAATTGATCTGTTTAAATTGCTTAGATGCAATTGTTTAAAGGGTCTAGGAATTGATATAAAAATGTATTACATGAATAATTTCTAACAACAACTGTTCAAAAACATTGTGTCATAAGTTGTTGTCTCATTTAAATAAACTAAACATCTCTTTATAATCATAACATATTCATGTTCCCAACATGTGTATTTTGTCACTAACAAACACAAATGACAACCTTTATAAAGCAAGTTGTTGTTTATATGATTTGATGGTGTGTGCTTCTTGTCAGTTATATCATTTATATAAAGTAGCAAATTTCAAAATGAAAAACAAAACAATAATTTTTTGGTATTTTTGTTGAGATGATACGTATACTAGGAATGGATTTAATCAATCTTAGATTATTCTTAGATAATGAATCTAAAAACTGTGTTTCCTTTTTTTAAGAATTTTAGAACTAATTCCCTGGTGTAGATATTTTTCAATCTTGAGTTTAGACACCAGTAAATTTATGTATAGTAAATGAATTTAGGTCTTAAAGTTTATAACCAATTTTCAGACTTATATACTGCGATAAATTTAGTACCGTACAGACAATTTGCTTGCATACCATGCAGTCATGTTCAAAAGCTTTAAAGACAATCCTGTATAATGTTGATATGTTCAAGTAAGTAAAAACTACTGAACACTTAGATCACAGACTGAACATACCGTAACTGACTGCAAGCGAATTGTCTGAATTTATCACATTGAATAAGTCTGAATATTGACTGAGAGACAGGAGATTACTTAATACAATACTGTTGAGTCCTTTCCAAGCTTTTGAGATCAAAGTGGCTTTTTTTATATCAAAATTGGTTAACTAGTAAGAAGATACTTCCATGAATTAGCATAGATATAAAAAAAAATAACGATCTTTTTTTACTTTCTGAAATCCTTGAATTCCATCCAGAATATTCCATGCTTGTTACCATCTGGATCAAGTTTCTTTTTGATCTCTGGTTTTACTTTCTGCCATTTAGGAGAGCTATCACTCCAATCGCCTTTCCATGATTCACTGCCCCATGGGTTTCTAATTTTCAACAATCTAAATAAAGACACACCTCAATTGTATTCAGATCAGTATATTCATGAAAAATAGTGAATATAAAAACAGAAAACCAAATATGTTGTGCAACCGATTTACCAGACAAAGATGCAAAAAAGGGCAGGCAACTTTGGCGGTTTTCTTTTCTTTAGCTAAAGACATACAGCCAATTCCCCAAATAAATTGAAAATGCAGTACATTATGCACTTTTACAAATATTTACATAAATAGGGAAATACCTCTTGGCATGATATATTATAAGTAATGCTGTTCAAAGGGAATGTGATTCTACCACATATTGATCGTATTTTTTTCGATTGATGAATTTTTTTTAGGGGGAAAAGGGGTCATTATGCATTCATTGTTATTCTTTAAAGAAATTACACCCCTTTCATAACTTTTCGACATATATTTATGAGGTTCCAATATGCTCCTGTCCGAAAACATATATCATTTTATACTGCAAAAATTTCATACCTACTAAATGTGTATAACAGCAATTTCCGTTCTAATCGCGCATGCTCAAAAATTGACTAACATGATATTTCATTTAAGGAAATATTCGTCCCAGACTCAAGCCTTAGTGAATACTTACTTTTCTCCAGTGTCCATATCAAAAACATCTAGAAGTGAGTAGGCATGTCCAGTTATGAGTCCAAGGGATTTACAATATTCTGGAGTAAAGCCGTTTTTAGCTTCACATGATGTGCACATCAAATACCTGAATAAAATATGAAAAATAAAGTTGGTGTTAATTTCACAGAAAGGCTTTATCATCAATGCGTCAACATAGTTTATACATGATATTACAAGCAAAACTGTGAGCTACTGCTGACTAATGATATCCCCGCTTTAAGAGATCGGTAAGTTAAGTTGATGAGCGATGATAAACACATTGCACATTTAAGTATGTTGACATGAAGACTGATGACAAATTTCATGAAGTTCTTATTTGAAGTTCCATAAGAAAATGCAACGAGAGTTTCATGCATGTCAATTATGTGTAAGAATATATAAGTATTTGCTTAACTGAAAGTTGAGAGTGGATGAATCTGATACTGCATTACATGGTATTGCATTTTCCCATGAAGACGAATTTCAAAAAGCTCTAATTTGTAGTTCCTGTGAAAAGTGCGATGGTATTTTATAATTTGATTTTAAACATATTTTATTCATTAAGATATGAAAAGGATTGAGCAACAGGCACACTCTATAAAAGCTTTCTCCATATCATATGTACAAGGTATAAGTCAAATATTAACAACTGTATTTAAAATAATAAAATACAGTGGGAAATGTTTGCTACTTATGAACACACATAAACAAATACATATTTACAGTGTTATTGATAAATGTATAATATATCTAAGTTTGTAGGCAATTAATCATCATTTATTCAAGTACCTTGAGACATGTAAATATCCTTTATAAGTCATTAGAAATATATATATAAGGTTTGGAAGAAACACTAAGCTTACTTAGTGGAATAAATAAAATATTGTTGGAAAAAAAAAGAAAACAAATTAACACCAAACAAAACGGTGAGTGTCGCTGAAATATTTCTTAGCAGATTTTAAAATAGCAATAATTATATCGTACGAAAATAATCTGTTTTTAAAAAGTAACCAGTCAAAATTATCATCAATAATTGAGTAAATGGAATCAAGTAAGACCTGTCTTACATCATTGTACTTTGGGCAAATAAAAATGAAATGCTGGTTATCCTCAAGAGGGTGATTACAGTTTGAATAAATAGTATTCTCTGATAAAAATTGATTAAACAAATGAGATTTTCGGTTGCTAGCATTATTTCTAAGTTGACAATGACTAATATTATATTTCCTTATCCCATAATTGACAGGTTTAAATATTTCATCAGTCCTATAGAATTTGTCTAGTCTACCTCTAAATAAACATAAACTTGGGGATTTTTGTATACTTAGAGGAAGACACTTCCAAAGTCTTATAGTAGAAGGAACTAGCCCTATTAAAGTAAGGGCTAGTTCTAGCAAGTTTTGGGGGTAAAAAGTATTATTTTCATTCCTCTAAACATAAGGGGTAAGTCTGGGAAAATATGGCTGAACTTACTCATTTAAGTATGTAGGTGTCATTCTATTTATTTTTTTATAAAACAGTATAAGCCTTTGTTAATTTCGTCTATTTCCCAGAGTTTCTAATACTAATTCAATATAAAGTTTATGTCTTAAGGAATTACGCCGTAGTCTAGTAATAATCATGCAGCTTTTATTTGAATATTTTCAAGAAGCTCGGACTCGTGCTGAGAGCAGTTGCCCCAAACAACATCACCATACTCTAAAATAGGTCTAATAAAATCATTTACACATTGTGACTTGGATGGAGAGTTGTCTCGTTGGCACTCATACCACATCTTCTTATTTATGTATAGTAAATATGTTTAAGTGAATTCCTGTCTAACAAATGTTTAACTTGTCGAAGTACAGATAAACGACAGTATGCTTTTATTTAAATATTATCAATACGTGTGTTCCATGAAGCCGATGACTGAAATGTTATCCCAAGATGGCAGCGGTTATCTATTTTCTCAACCTCATCACCATTAATTCCAATAAAATACAGGTGGAGGCTCCCTTTCCATTCTAGTAAATACAACAATTTTTTTTCTTTGAGTTGTATTGATCAGCCCATGATTTAGCCCAGTTAGAGATAACATCTAAGTCATCAGTCAAAGAAGCAGCTGCTACATCATGATCATTGTCTACTATAACAAATAAAGAAGTTTCATCTGCAAAAAGTCTAATCTCCTTAACAATGTCATTTACTATATCATTTATATAAATGAGAAACATAAAGGGTTCCAAAACTGATCCCTTAGGGATACCTGTATGTATACATTTAACAGCTGATGAAAAGCCTCCTGAAACTACTTTTAATTGACGATCTGAATGATAACTTTCTATCCAAGATAAGAGCTGATCATTTAAGCCACACTGTTTAAGTTTAAATAAAAGTCCTTCATGCCAAACTTTATCAAAAGCTCTAGATACATCACAAAATACAAACCTTACATCCCTACCACTATCCATATTACTGATAATTTTATGATATATTTAAATTAAATGATTCGCAGTAGAGTCTCCTGGCTGGAATCCAAATTGAAACTTTGACAAAAGGTTATTACTCCTCATATAATTATACAAGTGTTTAAAAAGAAACTTTTTCATAATCTTACAAACAACACAAATATCAGAATAAGGACGATAGTTAAGAGCTGAATGTGGACTATCCTTTCCTTTATTTTATGGGACGGACGTGCATTCGGACAGACAGTCTGATATAATTAATACTGTCCACATAAGGTTTATTATCTTGAAGTTACTACATTCATGTTCTTTTTCGTCTTTTTGACAGTTAGATTTCGAAAGAAATTTACAGTTCACATGCTATAATTCTATCCCCATTTTCCATCTGATAAAAATACAGTTATTACTCATTGGAAATAAGAAAAAAACTGTACTTTTGCTTTCATTATGAAGGTTGTGCAGCAGGGTAACACGAGAAACATCAACTGTTGAAATTGTGTATAAACTATTAAATAAAAAAATCGGAAATTGTTTTGGCGAACTCTGCGTCTTGCCAGCGATTACTGCTATCAGTGTGAAAGTGTAATGTGGTGATCTAAGTTGCTCATTTAAGCCATGAATTGGTCCAAAATGAGGGTTAATTCTAAAAATAAAACACTGAACATTAAAAAACTTTTATCAAACAGCATATTGTCATATCAAATGAAAAAAACATCAAATCCCTTGAGTTTATGAAAACATTGGATCATAACATATTTATTGATTTATACAGAATCACAGTGATTCTGAATTATAAACTCCACCAAGATGTATGAAATATGTTTCCGTAGGTAGTTTGTTGTTTCTTTAATGTGTTGTTAATTTTCTAATACAATATTTGAAAGAAAAGTTCAAGTTGAATAAATTGCCCTACAATGTTTCTCGAAGCACATTTTGCCATGGTAACTAGACAATAAACTTATCATCGATATCAGGATTAAAATGTGAGTATATGTATTTTATTTTATTTTCTAAACAAAAGTATTTATTTTCTGGTTACAGCTTTAAGTTAGCTATACTTTGGACAATAATGAAAATTAATGTTCCTTGCCGTTTATTTGTTCCTGCAATTCTTCATATTTAACTCATATATGAAGAAGTTGTTAAGGTGCTATTATTCAACTGTGGTTTTGTCTTTTGAGCGTATGGAATGAGGTACAAAATGTAGGTATACATATTCATGAGATGAAAAAGATCGATTTGTGTTAAAAATCAGTCCTGCAGATTGAATTTTGATAATTGTTGAAGTGACCTGTAGTATATTTTATCCGTTTCCTTTTTTCTTTTTGGTTTATTTTTGTCTAATAAACAATTATACCACATCTTTTTATATTTCATAATGATTTATTTTTCATTTTCCTTACCTACAAGCCCCTTGCATGTGTCAACTTTGACCAGATTAAAATGTTATCCATGGTCTTTGAAAAATCTTTATTGTCTAAATAGAAATCAAATGCATGCTAACTATGATATTTGACACAAGCAAAGAAAATCATAGATACATTTATAACATTACTCTTGTTCTTTACCATTGAACGTGTAAATATATTTCAACAAGACATTACCGAAAATTATATTAATTTAGTAGCTTCGCCGATTTTAATTGTGTCAGGTTTTCTTTTTCATTTACAAGAAACAAAACAACTAATTTAATTTATCAACTTATTCAACGACGATCAGAAAGGTTTTACATACAAAACCGATGTTCAAATCTCGTAAATCGGTTAGGAAGAGAAAAATCAAGCTAACAAATTTAAAACTGATGCAATCGCGTGGGTATTTCAGCCCATCAACTGAAAAAACTACATGTTACTAGAGAATTCAGTTAAGGTCTATGCCATAACATGATTAAATCGAGAGCCCTATGAGCCAGATAAACCAAAACTGGACACTTTATCTGAATGGATCAAGGCTGTTCGGTCATGTATTCAAATTCAAAATCTACGATGTACAATGAACACATGGGTTTCTGACCCTTTCAAGAAGCTCGAGGATGTAGATGCTTTATCCTCTCTTTACGACAAATATGAGGTTACTCCAGCAGACAAAACCTCAAACAATATTATTATTTCGAATGTCTCACTAAAGAGCTTAGAGTTCACTGCAACACTGGTAATCCCACATATACCTTTACATAAGTATAGAAAGATGAGATTTTATAAATCACAAATCAGTTTTTCTTACCGTTTGCATTTACATAGAAAAAATGTAGGGACTACATTAACAGGGGCGCAATCCTTAAACAAAAACAGCTCGAAACAAATTTATAAGAAAGAACGACTGCAATTGACATTCCATAAGTTTTACGGTCGACAACACGAATTGGTTGATATTTAAAAAGTGTCGATGTCTCAACTAACTAGTGACATGTTTTCTCGGTCTTAGTTCTTTAATTAACAGAATAGTCGTTTGATCTGTAATTTAATCGATTGTGACATTTTGACTGAGTTTTGATCCGCATGACGGGTGATGCATCCATTGTAGAGGATTCTTACCCAGTGAACGAGCCTGGTCATGTGATTCACTCAGATATGCTTGTTACCTTGGTTTGTCTCTACCTGACCGATTTACTAGATTTAGACATCGGTAAATTACTGTTGCCTTAACTTAATAATATAAATATTAAAAAAAGTACATGTTAACTTAATGGCAATAAAAGCGCTGTTCCTTTGCTTTTTGTATGTTTTTTTTTGTTGTGCATTTACTGATTTAGTGTCATGGATGGATACCCCATATCTTTTGTTTTTCTATTAGTGGGGTTTTTTTTCATTTCACCTTACAATTAGCAAATATGAAAACAGTTTCGAATACTAGTATGTCGAAATATAACAAATTAGAATTAAAGTTCTAATCTATTAGAACTCTATGTTTTTCTACCATTCAAAGACAGATGTTCACATGGTTCACCAGTAAGCAATGACAAGGACTCCACCGTCTTTCCAGATCTTAGTGCCTGATAACATCCATGCATCTTTGCTGCGGCTTTCTCGATCAATGGAACCCATAATTGACATCTTCTTGCCTACAATTCATATCAAAAAGGAAAAAAAAAACATTTCAACAGAAAAATGTCTTTTTAGTCTCCCTTGGGTAGTCGGATTTTTATTTTATCCTGTATCTGAAATCCTTAACCTATGATTTATTTGACTGTCTACTTAAATATAGCTACTTTAAGATTTGAACAATGGGACCGAAAAATGCATGGTAAATATATATCATTGCTTTTTATGACTTCTCTTCTTGACAATGGTTTTCATGAATCATAAGTTTTATATATTTATCAATATTGTTAAAGTCATATGATACTTCAAATTAAAATAAATTTAGTATGTTTTATATATTAATTTTTTAAGTTTTACTATAAAACAGGTATACGTGGGCTTTCTTGTAAAAGAAAATCCTTTATCTTATCAAAATCTTCAGGAATTTACTGCAATTGAATTCTCGTCTTCCTGTACTCTGATTCGCCAATATTTTTTCCGTATGCAGTGACCTTTACTACGAGACCTCTCATTAGAACTTCGGCTACCGCACAACCCAAGTGCGAGGGAAAAACCGTGAATGAAAGAATGTAAACAAACGTGCACTGGAAGGTAAATAGTAATAATTCATTCTTAAAGAACAAATCGAATGCACCAAATCATTTAACAACTGTTTTGGAAAAGTTTAATTAACAAATGGAAACGCATGCAAAATATAAAAAAAAAATCATCGCTCTATCAAGTCACTTATTTTCCACGAGCGTCATGATTCTGTGTTGATTGTTTAAGAATGTCACGTTCCGGTAAACTTCGGCATCAGACTCGAAAGTTAATTAGCTGAATGAAATATTATTTGTCGATGATATACTATAGATTCTTAATAAATGTAAGAAACGTCCATAGAGAATTTAGTTAAGTTTATATGCATGCATTTGTTTAATAATTTCCTGAACATTAAAATTAGGAGATACTCGTGTCATACGACTTTAAGGTAATTAACTAGATATTTTAAAAGTAGATGTGCAATCTGCATTTTGGACATTATAAGACAACTTTTAGTTTAGTTGGAAAACTTGTTAGAATCAAACTAACAAAACAAAAAAAGAAAATTGAATGAAAGGAACTGCAGAAGTTGAGAAAACTCCTCTAAACTTTGGGAATCTACAAATACACCAAACGTTTTTTAGAATTAAATTCAAGAATTTCTAAATGTTTACCCTCTATAAGGTGAAAAGTCATTTTAATATCTTTTAAAATAAAAACTGTCAAGTAACGAATGACATCAATGTGTAAAACTGCCAAATATATCATTGATATCACCCGTGGTTTTTATTGAATTTGATTATCCAATTTGATTTTGTGTACTTTAAACATATTTATTCGCCCTCATGACAAATATACCACCATACGAAAATAAAAGAAATATCGGAAATTAACTGTACATCGCTAATAATAATCTGTTTCTTGAAATACAAACTCCAACTAAAGATTTTATGAACATCGTATGCAATGGTACAATGATATGGAACAGAAATAAATAAATAATTACATAACAAGAAAAGAAGTAAAAAAAAGAATAGAAAAATAAAACTAAAAGAAATAAGAAAAAATAAAGAGAAAAATACATTAAATACTTTACAATTATTTTGATGAAAGGCATTTTTGTCAAAATAGTGAATTATTATTTAACTTGTAAATCTCTTGCACCTTACTTAAAACAATGTTTGTATTATTTCTAAATTTCCTTGTTCTGGTCTAAAGATGAAACTTGTCAACCAAATACAAGGTTTGTATTCAACATGACAGGATAATGAATTAAGAAAACGATTTCATACCCAGTGCATCTTCTTTTGTAGAATTCAATAGAAAACGAGCTGTAGAATTCATTAGAGCAATTAGAACAGTGTACTGGAAAGAAGTAAAATAACAAAAATACCGAACTCCAAGGAAAATTCAAATCGGAAAGTCCCTCATCAAATGGCAAAATCATAAGCTCAAACACATCAAACGAATAGAAAACAACTGTCATATTTCTGACTTGGTACAGGCATTTCCTTATGTAGAAAATAGTGGATTAGACCTTGTTTTATAGGTAGCTAGAGGTCTGACAAATGCACATTGAAAGAACTACTTGTTATCCTTAACATAGCATGTGATAATTGGTCTATTCTTGTTCATGTGTTATAAAAATCTTGAAACCTATTAGTTAGCTTTGAAGACACTGTAAGATGTAGAATTCATTTTCTGTTCCTTTAACGTATTCTTCAATTTACTGTGACTTGACTATAGGTGTTGCTGTTTACCTTTACCTATTGTTCAACCATATTGTAAAATTGTCAAGACAATTGGGACATTAAAATTCACCAGTTGGTATTGTTAGAGTTGATGAATAGATGACCACTCATGCATTTAGAGTCTACCTGGATGCTGTCCCATCTTTCATCTGTTCTATTGTAACTGTTGTAGTGTAACTTGGATATGTCTTTTTTAAAAGTTATCCATGTGGCATTAAGGCTTCAATTTTTATCTTTGTTAAATAACATAACATGCATACAGTTTAAAACAGAATTTATGGTATGAATGAATCTAGACCACAAGATGCAAACTTATTTCATGTTCTAATTTTTGCTAAAAACTGCTGATTTAAAAAAAAATCATTTCCTCATGTTTTTCATAAGAGAATCCTAAAACAAGTAAAGGAAATAAACATTGTAATTACAGTCTTATTTTCATTCAAATGAATGCATTCCTTGAATTAATATTGGCCATACAATTGCTAAAGAAACACAACATTTGGAAGGAAAAAGAGAGATTTTTATTTTACTGACATATCAATCTTTGGAGTGAGATAGTCAGAACAAGAATGTATATGGTTTTTATTGCCGGGTATTTAATTACATGTGGTTTAATGCACTATATTTCCTCTTAATGTTTTCATAGCCAAATACTATGAGTGCTTGAATTTCTTTCATATTGTTGAAAAGACCTCTTTTATCTCTATGGCTTTTTCTAATGGAAGATGTCTAAAAATATTTTTTTTTTACTCTTGTTAAAATCTTATTTTTAGGATTAATAAACACAAGAAAAAAAGTATGCATTTCTTCATTTAGACATTTGTTCAATACTTATTGGCATGAGCCTTGTACAAAGTGTTTATGCATAGTGAAATATAAAAAAATAATAGTTATGAATTAACTGTATTATTTTTTTTTTATTGACACTGATATTTGATATCCCATCCAGTATTCCAGTTTCACTATTTGAACAAATATTTTCCTATTTTTTTTTTAAATTTTGGAATATTTCTTACATATTATTATATCCCAATTAAACAGGTGCAGAGTCTTTTTATTAGATCCACAATTTTAGATTGTATAGGTAGCATCAAGGTAGACTCATATCTTAACAATAACAACTGGTCAATTTAAATGTCCCAATTGTGTTGTCAATTTTACAATCTGGTTGAACAATAGGTAAAGGTAAACAGAAACACCTATAGTCAAGCCACAGTATTTGATGAAGAAAGGAACTCATTTGAGTAGACGTTAGTTCTGGTTTGTGTTTCCGAAATGTTATGAGTCTGAAGAGTGAAATGGTTATGTTTCTTTTGATTTGGTAATTGTTTTTGCAATAGCCCGGCGACAAATGTGAAGTCATGTAAGGTCAAATTCATTACGTTCTGCTGACAAGTAAAGTTTTTTGAAACTGATTCCTTATAAAGTAGCTATTATTCAGGGCTGAATACGATCCTTAATTAGCTGTTTCTGTTTTCAAAATCGGACCGGGTGGTACTTGTTTGAAGAAGCATGTGACAAGTTCAAACTGTAAAAAAACACATTTTTGTCAAAATATTCATTTGATGTTTCCGTAGAACAAGTCATATCATATATAAGCTGTATTTCGAAATAAACTATTGATTTCACGGAGAAATGCATGTAAATAAAGCTGATAAATTGTACGCTGAAGAGGTTTTACTGTACGGGAAAAAGAATAAACTTGTTGCTTTTATTGTTTTTTTCTTTTTCTTCGGTACCTATATTTGGTGGTAATGCTACATAGTGTTATTGATACTACACAAATAATAATACATCCTTCGTATTTCAAATCTTGGAAACTTCCAAAGTATCAACATGATGAAATATTGATTAGGTTAATTCTGAGTCAGACTAAACAGTAAATTCGTACATTTTATTATTTGGCAATTCAAACCTTAGAATATTTTAGTCTCTCGTGCTGATTTACTGGGAAGTGGTCATCTAAGACAACAGTTTTCCAGCTGCCATCTTTACAGAGTCTTACAACATATGCTCCTTCAGGACAGTAGTCTTTTGTAACAACTATTCTCTCAACCAGCTTCTTTCTCTCAGCAACAACAGCCAGTGCACATATGAACCTATGTATAAGTTGGACACATTTCTGAAGGAGCTATTTCCACAAGAAAATATTACGACTGTAATGCAAATAAATGAGACCTACTTCTCTATTTGTAACAAATTATTAAAGCCTACGGCTGAATGTTTTCGGGTATAGATTGTCATTTATTGATTCTTTTTTTAATTTATTCTTCGTAAAAGATAAGACAATTCGATTCATAATTCATTCAATGTTTCCAACATTAATTTCCGATAGAAATACAATGAAGAAAATTGAAATTGTTCCTTTTTGTTAACAAGTTGACAATTGGAAAGTTGAAATCAACAAAATTGATACATGAAGCTGACCTTTTAGTATCCTTAATATCAAGCTAACTGAGATATATGTGAAGCAAAAAGTGGGAGGTTTAGCTAGCTGTGAAACCAGGTTTAACCCACGATTTCTTGCCTGTTCCAAGTCAGATATATAGCAGTTGTTTTTCACTTGTTCTGTTGATTGATAACGTTTGATTTTGTCCGTTTTTATGGACTTCACCTTTTTGAATTTGCATTGTAGTTCAGTATTTTTATTATACTTTTTGACTGAAATGTAGTTTATTGAGTGACGGCACATTACCAATATATCTGAAATTGAAACTAAAGAATCTTGCAAATTGTTTTTTCTTCTTGTTTTTAAGAAAGGATGTATGAATTCTGTTTCTTATGAGAATAAAAAATGAGTCGATCAGTAGGGGTGCACAATAAGTAATCATTAAAATACCTACTGTTGGTAAAATGAAAATCTATCCCACTTAATAAATATGTTGTCGATCAAAAAGTCCAGCAATTTCATGATATTATTTTTTGTGTATTTGTTGATGGAATCGGGTTGATTCTTCAAAAATTTTGCATTACCTCAGAGAATTTGAATCTACGATTCCACCTATTTTTTTAAAGATAAACAACTCTGTTTAATAAAATGCTGTAGTCGATCTCTCAATTGAGCTTGGGGAGTAGTTGATTTAAGCTTACTAAAAATCAAAAGATTTGATATTATTCAAAAATTTCAAAGATTGACAATGATGATTTTGGAGTAAATCTTTTGCATTTTTATTATTGTTTCAGGCTTTGTCTGCTAGAAAATCAACATATTTGTCATGAAGAGAGAATAAAGCATCCACAACATCGGGATTCTTGATAAGGGTAGAAATCCGTCATTTTATAGTATAGATTTTGAATGCGCTTCTGAATGCATGACTTAACAGTTTTGATGCATTAAGATAGAGTTCATTTGGCTCAGGCTTTATCTATTTCTGGCATATTCCTCAACTGCTATCCATCAGTAACCTGAAGTTTTTCTTCCGGTTGATGGGTTGGGTAGATGGATATATCTCTGTAAGTTGCTCTTTGTTTACAATGCCACGGTCTCCAGTTATAAAGTTAGCAGCGGGGTTATATTTATATAGGGTTGACGAACAAGACAAAACGGAGGGTTTGGATTTTACATCTTTGAGGGTAAATATTCCTTGCAACCTATTGTGGCTGAAACTATTTGGTGCAGTAGGTTTTGCGTAGGTCTATTAAATGACAGGTGTATTTTTATCTTTTAAGTAATCAGGTTTTGTTGTCTGCACATATTTTTGTTGGAATAAATTACTAAATTATATTGATAGCATCCAATCCCTTGAAAGTGACTTCTTATTAAAAAAAAAATACAACTGAGGTTAGCAAAGCCCATAATTATTGCAAACAATGCTTATGATAAAATCTTAGCAAAATTTGTATCAATAATGGAAGTGTGTTGGACCTCTCAAAATAAGTGAATTGAGCTCAAACAATGGTACAGCAAACAGTTTACTCCGAATATAGTGAATTCCTAAAGGGTTTTGAACATAGGATTCCAAACTGTTTGTCAAATTCTCCACATTGCTTAAAGTTGTTACCTTACTTTTTTTTAACATTTCCGTCAGCGTCAGATTCCTTTCATTTTAAAATGTTTCCTAATTTGAATTATTCTGATCACGATTACAAATATGATCAAACAATGAGAAAACTAATGATTATATCGTGCATTTATAGATATAATAGATGAAATAAAGAAACGGAACTTTAGTTTGACTCTTCAAAGGGACTTTCTCCAATCATGGTAGCTGTTATATTTTATGAAGGAATACTACATGCAAAACAACAGAAGAAAGGCGTACACCTTGTCATCATTGACAGTCAAAAGGCCTTTGACACAATATAATATTACTAGAAACTTGATACCATTAAGTCTTACCAGACAAATTGAACGTCATTTAAAATCTTTAGTCTACAAAAGAGACAGAAGATTCTGCCATGATTGAGTTGTCTTTCTTAATCCAAATTGTAGATCTATACAGTTAGCATTCAGGTCGAGCGTTTTTATTCAATTGCAAATTCAAAGATCCCTAAACAAATATTGCTATACGTAAATTATCACTACACATGCAATGAGAAAAAAACATACTCATAACATCGGAATTGCCCCAACTAGCTCAGTCACAACTATTTTTTTAATATTCGAAGATTTTTCGGTGATACTTTCTTTTGATGTTCGTAAGTGTTTACAATAAATATAACAAAAGGGTTATGTCAGTGCGTGAAAACAAATCAATATGTTTGCTTTAAAACGACTGAAAAAAGGAGATAGCTTTTAAACAAGAGTCTTAAAAAAATGAAAACAACACTTCATAAATATCATGCGTCCGAAGTGTTTTCTGGATTTTCCTTCATCAGGAACGCTCAAAGCTGCATATTTATAAGACGAGGACGTGTAATAACAGAATTTATAAACGGACAATTTTTTGTCTTAATCTTCCTTTTGACAGAACTTTAAATGTCTTAAATAATACTAGTGAAACTTGTATCCATACCAATCTCCAATGAAAGATAGGAGCGTTTTTTCCTTGCAGGATGATATTTCAGACAAAACTTATATATTCGCAAATGTACAGTTTTGTTATGGATGTTTGTTGCTAAATAAAAGAAACAGGTTGTAGGTTTTGTGCATAGGCATGAACTTGTGTAGCATTTCCCAGAGTTCATATGGATCAATTGCATAAACTTTGCATCATTCATAGTTGAAAAGACGCTTGAGTGTGGATGTTAATGTACGGACACACATTGAAACGCTACAGGACATAAAGTTTGCATTGAATTTTCAATAGACAATACAGATTTTCTTCGAAAAGTAAGATGATTTCTAAAACAGATTTTAAATGAAACTAAAAATGAATTACATAAAGTTACGCAGCTTAAATGACAAGATGGACAAACCTTAACAGAATAGAGAAGCCACAATTTGGGACAGTACACAGTGGTTATTTTGATGCTTGTGCGTTTACTGTTGCTCCTGTAGTACAGAAGAATATTCTATAAACTCTTCTATCCTAAATTTTTGCAGGATGAAAATGCAACAAAAATGCGATGGCAGACAGTGTAATCATAACTTATAAAATCTTTGGCAAAAACATCTCGCAATTTTTTTGCACTTCAAATTCATACTATATTTGGCTTCCGGTTGATGGGTTGGGTAGATGGATATATCTCTGTAAGTTGCTCTTTGTTTACAATGCCACGGTCTCCAGTTATAAAGTTAGCAGCGGGGTTATATTTATATAGGGTTGACGAACAAGACAAAACGGAGGGTTTGGATTTACATCTTTGAGGGTAAATATTCCTTGCAACCTATTGTGGCTGAAACTATTTGGTGCAGTAGGTTTTGCGTAGGTCTATTAAATGACAGGTGTATTTTTATTTTTTAAGTAATCAGGTTTTGTTGTCTGCACATATTTTTGTTGGAATAAATTACTAAATTATATTGATAGCATCCAATCCCTTGAAAGTGACTTCTTATTAAAAAAAAATACAACTGAGGTTAGCAAAGCCCATAATTATTGCAAACAATGCTTATGATAAAATCTTAGCAAAATTTGTATCAATAATGGAAGTGTGTTGGACCTCTCAAAATAAGTGAATTGAGCTCAAACAATGGTACAGCAAACAGTTTACTCCGAATATAGTGAATTCCTAAAGGGTTTTGAATATAGGATTCCAAACTGTTTGTCAAATTCTCCACATTGCTTAAAGTTGTTACCTTACTTTTTTTTTAACATTTCCGTCAGCGTCAGATTCCTTTCATTTTAAAATGTTTCCTAATTTGAATTATTCTGATCACGATTACAAATATGATCAAACAATGAGAAAACTAATGATTATATCGTGCATTTATAGATATAATAGATGAAATAAAGAAACGGAACTTTAGTTTGACTCTTCAAAGGGACTTTCTCCAATCATGGTAGCTGTTATATTTTATGAAGGAATACTACATGCAAAACAACAGAAGAAAGGCGTACACCTTGTCATCATTGACAGTCAAAAGGCCTTTGACACAATATAATATTACTAGAAACTTGATACCATTAAGTCTTACCAGACAAATTGAACGTCATTTAAAATCTTTAGTCTACAAAAGAGACAGACGATTCTGCTATGATTGAGTTGTCTTTCTTAATCCAAATTGTAGATCTATACAGTTAGCATTCAGGTCGAGCGTTTTTATTCAATTGCAAATTTAAAGATCCCTAAACAAATATTGCTATACGCAAATTATCACTACACATGCAATGAGAAAAAACATACTCATAACATCGGAATTGTCCCAACTAGCTCAGTCACAACTATTTTTTTAATATTCGAAGATTTTTCGGTGATACTTTCTTTTGATGTTCGTAAGTGTTTACAATAAATATAACAAAAGGGTTATGTCAATGCGTGAAAACAAATCAATATGTTTGCTTTAAAACGACTGAAAAAAGGAGATAGCTTTTAAACAAGAGTCTTAAAAAAATGAAAACAACACTTCATAAATATCATGCGTCCGAAGTGTTTTCTGGATTTTCCTTCATCAGGAACGCTCAAAGCCGCATATTTATAAGACGAGGACGTGTAATAACAGAATTTATAAACGGACAATTTTTTGTCTTAATCTTCCTTTTGACAGAACTTTAAATGTCTTATATAATACTAGTGAAACTTGTATCCATACCAATCTCCAATGAAAGATAGGAGCGTTTTTTCCTTGCAGGATGATATTTCAGACAAAACTTATATATTCGCAAATGTACAGTTTTGTTATGGATGTTTGTTGCTAAATAAAGGAAACAGGTTGTAGGTTTTGTGCATAGGCATGAACTTGTGTAGCATTTCCCAGAGTTCATATGGATCA